CGAACTATATATATATACATTTATTTTACTTGTAAGGAAGGGATGTAGTATATGCATACCATTAGGATTTACTGTATCGAGAATAAGGTTGTTACTCAACTCTGTAGAGGAGAAAGCTCAGTTCTGTACAGATAACCGAATAAAGGGATATAGTCAGAGTCATTAAAGTGACGAGTGTTTATTTATTGTTTCCCATTGAATATTCTATAATATTGAATTAGCCCTGCATACGAGTGTTCCTGGACTGTAGTGAGGACTTTGGAAAAATTATCATATTCTCTAATCGCTGAAGAGTTCAACCCAGAAGGAATAAGCATTCGACTGATCATCAGATTGAAATTTATTTGTGGTGAAACGTTATACTTGACAACAAAATAAATATTCCATTCAACAAACATTTCTATTGACGCTGTGGTGATTACATAGGAAAAATGAATGAACACTGGAAATATTTAGAAATATACATTTAAAAGAACGATCTGAATACTTTTTGCCCTCAATTTGCGATGAATGGGAGACTTTGAAACTGGAACAGCTATATATTATTCTCGAAAACAGAATCGTGACAATTTCGATCAGCAACATTTCAACATCTGTATGAAATCTTCTAGGCCGGACTGGTGTATTATGCCAAGTAAATAATCCGGCACACCATTGTGTCGTTATGATTATGAAGCGGAGAGTAATCAAGAGCACATACCGAACCATTTCTGTTTTTCGAACAACACTGAATAAACGCAGAATTTGTATCCGCTTTTGGTATTTTCAGCTCCATTTAATTTTCTTTGCCAATCAATCATTCGTAAACTTCCTTTTGAGATACAGAAACTCATTAACTTTGAAGAAACGAACAATCTAATTCACTCAGGGCATCAGTTTACAGCGAGTATCCTTAAACTGAAAATACACCGCGAACTGCACTAGAGAACTCGGAGTTTCCCCAGAGACACAAACTAACAAACAACATTAGCCCAAGATATTGAATGTTTGTTTGTGAATGTTCGACACTTTCGACGAGGATTTATCGGTTGGTGGAGACTTTTTTTGTTTACAAATGTGCTATTTCTACATAGCATATCAATTACAATCCTGTGTCACCACAGTTGACTGATGCTATTTTTTTGAAGCGAACTTTCAACATGTTTTCGCCGATGCTGAAGTCGATGATCATAGAACAGTTCTTGAAATGCTAAAAATATTTTCGATAGAAGCCATTCCAACCTGCCAAATATCAGTTGGTCGACAAATCCTCATGATTTTTAGCGTTTATTCTTTCAATTCTACTGATATTCTGAGTAAAGATTCCATAAAATTTTTGAAGTGAAACTTTTTTACGCGCGCTTGACTTGGGGGAGTAGACTGGTGAGAGCGTGACGATAGCCTTACGAAAAGTGTGATCGGGCAAGACGAACAGAAGTTGAGAAGAAGGTATGAGTTAGTGAAGATAGAAAAAGAGAGAGTAACATTTCTTATATTACTGCAGGGGCAAGAGAGAAACGTGCAAGCACACATTTACGGTCGAGTAGGTTCTGAAGAATTGGGAGAAAACTATCATACGTTGCCACTAATTTCAGAAGGGGATTTCAATGTTAATTTCACGTCCGAAGGTGGACAACTCTTGAGAAAGGTTCTGCTAGATATATTAGAACTACAAATGTATAATAATCGAAATGAGTCTACCACAAGACATGAAACAACAATCGATGTAGTTTTCCTAAGATATCTTTCTAATTTTCATTCAAAAACATATGTATCTCATTTATCATATCATAAGCCTATTGTCTCGGTCTTTTTTTTCAGTTTCAACTCGATTTTTTGGTGCCGATTTTGTAGGGAATTGAATTTGCTACAAAAAAGTTCCTTTGAGCAAACACTCTTCAATCAACGGTTGCTTATTAGTTGATTATTAGCATTCGGAAATTGCTTTCTATGAATTGCTGCAGTAAGTATTGCTTCTGTTCCTTACTATAAGTTAAACTTCGATTATATAATTCCATCAATTGAGCTCCACGTTCAGCGGTATCATTTACGATGCGTTAATTTTTCAAAATTGTTAAGTATGCATTATATTCTTCATCTTTGATCTGGATGTTATTTTAGAAATTCAGTAGGAAGTTTAAATCGCTCAAATCTTACAAGTTTTCAGTCAAGAAAGATTCAATCTCAATTTTTTTTATATAAACACGCTTTGAATTTGTAGTTTCGCTATCTTATGTCACCCATATCTTAATGAGGATCTAGAAGTGACTTCAAATTGGGGATACGTAACCAGGTTCAATTCAATGCCAAAAAAATCCAGGCAACGGTTTTCTCCAAGAAGATAAATGTCTCCGAACCAGATATAATAATGTCAGGACAAACAATTCCGCTTTCTGCTTCCATTAGTTTGTTGGTGGTTAACATGGACACCAATATGTCTTGGCACAATCGTGTCTCTGGAACTAAAGGGGTTGCATCCGAAAAGCTTGGAACACTGTTTCGAACCAGAAAACTGTACACACCTCAACAACTTTCGATGCTTCATAAAGCTCAGATCAGACCTTCTTTGGAGTATTGTGACTGCTCATTGTTTCGAGGTTCAACTCACTACACCTCGAACTTCACTGATCAAGAACATGTTCATTTGGAGAACTACGTTTACGGGAATGAACTTCCTGAGAACGTTTTTTCAAATGAATTTAATCTCTAGCGATTCGAATCTAATGTGAATCGCTACTTTCGCACAGGCACCGCTCATAGAGCGCCCTAAGGATGTTTCTATAGTGCTTATGTTTTGTCCTTGAAAAAAGTACTGATATCATCTTATCCATCAAGAATTGTCAAATACATGCCTATGCTGATGAATTTGAAGAATTTGAATTTGAACCATAGAATATCTTAAATGCGAATTTAGATTCGATCAAGTAAACACGATTTGAAACTCAATCCTAATAAAAAAATTATATTTTGAATCACAGAAGAATCGTAAATTTACAGAAAATAATTTCCACTCGGAAAAAAACCTATATATCATTGAATAAGTTATAATCGGACTGTTATCGTTTCATTTTGAGACACTCTCTAAAAAATTGCTATGTGATAGTTTGATACTAAGCCACGTCAACTACTGTGACTTCATATATAAGGCATACCTTATATGATTCGGATAGAACAAGAAACTTCAAAATTCTTATTGTTGTCTAATCTATGGAATTCGAAAATATGATTTCATTTCTGAAGCCTTCAAAAATTCCTGCTGACTCAACATGAAAAACCTTAAGACTCATCATTTGAGTTGCTTTATTCAGAAATTGATTACTCTCCCCCACAGTCACCTTTCAATACAGAAAATAATGCTGTATGAAGACATCCATTCAATAAATGCAAGAAATAAGACAAATTAACTGTGCCACATCACACTGCCCAGTTTCAGAGATCATTTCTTTTCGATGATGTAAACATTTTTTTCATTTGACTATTTCAATCGAATTTGTTTTCCATGAATAAATGGTTCATTGAAAAACATAATTCCCTTCAATTCTAGTGATGATATCAACTTTACTTCTGTTAATGCATAAATCTTCAATGAACAAGTGACAGACATACGGTCGTACCCAAAGCTTTGCCTGATCCTATTACTGAATCTCTAAGACTTAGTAAAACTTCAAGTAGTTGGTTTTTGGTATAGTGATCTTCAAAATACAAATTGTTATCCATTAAAAAAAATTGTCTTTCATCTTTCCTCGAATTTTTATTCGGTACTTTGATGAGCTGTCGCGAATGATAGGAAGCGTTGTCAAAAACTATTACACTATTCTATCCTATTACTGAATCTCTAAGACTTAGTAAAACTTCAAGTAGTTGGTTTTTGGTATAGTGATCTTCAAAATACAAATTGTTATCCATTAAAAAACTTTGTATTTCACATTTCCTCAAATTTTTATTCGGTACTTTGATGAGCTGTCGCGAATGATAGGAAGCGTTGTCAAAAACTATTACACTATTCGCATCCAAATTTGGGATCAACGTATTTTCAAACCAATCCCCAAAAACATTAGCTTCCATGTTCATATGATAGTAATCATTGCAGTCCTCAAGTTTTTTTTTTCATATAATGTCAAAGAATTCGGAAACCATCCTTTACTTCCTCCGCAATGCACAATGATTAGTCGCTATCCTTTGTTTGCAGGCATGTTAGCCTTACATATTCTCGAACCATCAGTCCACCCTTTCGTAAGTGTGTCACGAATGTCACACCAAGTTTCGTCCTGACAGAAAATTTGCCGTTGTTCTTGTCTATATTTAGTTATTTGTTCTAAGTATTTGTTACGCAATTCCACAATTCTTCTGCTTTCCATAACTGCTTGACATTTGTTTATTATTTTAATTTCTTCCTTATGATTTCAGTTGTAGGAATCTTGTTGCTTTTGTAGCAGTCGTATATTGTTTTTTTCAAAGATTTTATTAGATGAACATCTGAAGGTTTTGATAATCCTGTATCACAGCGCGTCTTGCGTTCATAGGTTTGTTTTTGACTATTTTACGTACAGTTGAGACAGGAATTTCGTAATTATAAAGTAATTATAACTGCACCAATATCGAATTCCAACCCTCAAATCGCGATCAATTCCTGAACTGAACACGATGGCGATAACCATCCCCGCATTCCCCGATTTCTATTCGTCACCGTAACATGACTTCAAATATAATTTTATCACTCTTCAGCTCGGTTATTGAAAATTATCCAATACGAACCGCCCATTCTACAGTCCACGTGGACTAGTTCGTAGCTGGTTCATTTCTATGTATTGATTTTTTTTGGCCTTTGAGAGTACCGCCAACTTTAAATATGCACAGACTATACTAGAAACTCCTGTAACTTTTTTCCTCATTCTTCATTGTATGTCTTTTGTATTTTTTAATAAAGCTTATTCATTAGTATCAATATTATTATTACATTCGATTTTATAGAACGAATATTTGTTGTGATTGGAAGAAAAAGGCTCGGCGCCATAAATCATTTTTTAATACCAAAATCGATTTTATGTTCTAGCGTAACAAAAGTCTCGACGCGATCTGCACAATGGTTGTCTTCCTGAAACATGATATTTCCTCTCGAAGCGTTTGAAACTGCGTTTTGTTGAAAGGGTTTCAAAATACATGATTTTATGAACATCAGATGTCGTCTGACGTTCACCCCATTCGATACGAAAGTCAACAAGAGGCAGTGACTTATTATAGGGGCTTTCCACACTCGTTAAAGGGTATTCAGAGAACTGGCGATGACAGGGTTGATTTGTAGTAATAGTCCAAGGGCTGCTGTCGAAAGTAGGCAAGAGTTTTCTGACCTGTTTTGGGATCTATGTTATTTTTAATTCACTTGAATGATATAGATACCATCCATGGCTGTGATTTCATAATTTTTTTTGCAGATGGCACTTTGTTGTTGTCAATTTCAGGAGGTGATATAAAAACACTAGCTGATCAAATGAATAACGAACTAAGAAATATTCACAAGTACATGAATCGCAATAAACTCAAACTTAACACCTCAAAAACAAAATATATGATCCTATCAACTGGTTATAAGCTAGCACTCATCAACAGACACAAGATAATTTCAAATTGCAGGTGATGTAATAGACTTCGTAAGTGAATTCAAATACTTAGGTTTCATGGTGGATAATCGTTTATTTCTCCATGCTCATTTTGATTATATATATATATAGAAAATTCCATAAACTACACCTTACCATTTGATCTCCACAAACTTTATTTGAGAAATATATCACGACATGTTTCGCTAACACAGTAGTTTCTTCAACAACTGTTGCTGACACAATAGCTTCTTCAACAGTTCAACTGTTGTTGAAGAAGCTACTGTGTTAACGAAACATGTCGTGATATATTTCTCAAATAAAGTTTGTGGAGATCAAATCGTAAAGTGTAGTTTATGAAATGACTATGGATCTTTATCAAGTAACGACCGAATCAATCACAAAAAAATATATAGAAAAATTACTGAAAAAATATATTTTTTCTCACGAATTTCATTTCAGCTTTCGATGTACCCAAAAATTACATTATATAATTGTATACTTCAACCCCATTTTGATTAGTGTGCTAGTCTTTCATATTCATTTGACCAAAATAAAGTATCGACTTTACAAAAGTTACGGAATCGTGAAATGATGCTTATTTTACTAGTGAATAGGTATACCAGTATATCAAAAATGTTGAGTACATTGCAGTGGCTGTCTGTTTCCCAAAGACTGTACGAGTTAGCAATGATTTAAATTTTGAAACTAGTTCATAGGTTGCTTCCAACTTATTTTGGAGAATTGTATATTTATAGATCTCAGATCCATAACCACTTAACAGGAGCGAGTAGTTTCCAAAAATTTCACCTTCCACAAACTGATTTGACTAGTACGACGAAGTATTCATTTTATAAAGGTTTAAATAGGTATAATCAACTTCCACCTCCGTTGAAAGATTCACTAAATGTTTTCTAAAAGAAAGAACTCATGAACTATATAAAATCTTACCCCTGATTTTTTTCTTATATATTTGTTATGTATATTTACATGTTTGGACCATATTGGACTCATTGTAATATTATTATTATTTTTCTTCTAGTATTATTTCATCTTTTTTGTTATTACTTTGTCATCGTTTACTTGTACAAACTGATGATAATGTGAAATGAATATTTCATAATAATGTATGTACATTAGGATATAAATTCATATCATAATTATACAGTAAGACTAATTTTGGTAGGAAACGTCAGTCAGCAAGAAGTAACAGTGAGAATTGTAATGCGCAGTTCAATTGAATGATGACTGACGTGGTTTGAACATAAACACATCAATTTTACTGTTCTTTTCACTAACTTCACAGTTTCAATTGATGTTTCAGTCTTAAGAAATCACTTAAACTCAATTGATTTCTCAGACAGGTTTGAAGTAGAGCTAACGGCACGTGTCCCCACAATTTTTACATTCTGATTGTCAAATTTCAGCACAGAGATACTGAATAATTTTATACCTTTGCCAGCGTCCCAAGTGTTTTGGTAACGGAATTGCTTAATCTGTATTAACTATTCATCACTAAAATGCGTTTAATTTGTACATATCAGTCATCAGAAAACTTTTACACATTTTCAGCGCTGGTTCTCCGACTATAGAAGGCGTTTGGATTTTTAGTGATGTTTGTGACGAGTGTCAGAAAACAGTGAAATATGTCGCTTACGTTGTGATTTAATGCTTGAAGGATTCATCATTAAGAATATGAGAATACAGGTTGGGGAAGAGTTCAAGCTATGAATTAATCAAATAAGTGTGTCTTACGTACTGTCATCCTAACAATACTGATGAGGTAATAATACAAGTGTCATATTCTGAAACTTTGACTTTCGCCAATGAGACTAGTTAAGGAGAAATATGGAATATTGTTGGGGATGCAGCATTGCAACAAAATTGTAAAACAAAAAGGTAAAGAATGTACTTACTAACTTGAGGTTATAGTAAAAAGTCAGACGTGGCAATGACAAAAACAAAAAAAAATGTGACTTAATGTCACATAAAAGTGATTGTAACACAAACAAAACCACCTCTGCACTTGCAGAGCATGTCATCAGCACTAAACACACAATGAACTACACCGAAGTAAAAGTTTTGTGTACTGAAAGCAACTTACAAAAACGGTTGTTTAAAGAAATGTTTTTTATCAATAGGAATACCACTAACATGAATAAAAAGACTGAGCTCAACAACCTCAGCAATATTGACGCAGTGTTGAGTCTGTCAAAAAAACCTTTTACTTCAGTTGTGAGTGTTTGGCAGCACTGTACCCAGAGTCAGATACTTTTGATTTTGTTTGCATCAGCCATGGGGTTGGTGTGCCTTGGTAATCCTGTTGTTGTTTTTTTTGTCAAATCATCAAACTTCAAATGTCTTTTCTTAATGTCAATTATCAAAATTCAAATATTTTCTCTTTCGTCTCTCTTTTTGATTGCTACCACGCCACCGAGTAGGTGCCAAGCATGGCCAGAAAAATAATTTTAAATGTATGAATAAAATAAGTTTTTTGTACTTTTTCTCTGAAACTTCAAATTGAATGTGTAACACTTTCCTACATGATGAAAAATATTAACTTTGTTTTTCTCATTGCCACGTCTGACTTTTTACTATAACCTAAAGTTACATATGATGTAAACAATACTTTAAAAAATTACTACAAACATACAGGTCCGTATTTAAAACTTCAAAGTTGAGGGTGTTTATGTTTATGTGAAAATGTGAAAAAAAATCCAATGTCTTTCGCCATAAAAATGTGGAAAAGGAAATATTTCCTTTTCCGAGTCCATCAATCCAGTGGCTGTGTTATTACAGAAAGAAATTCCAATAATACCTCCCAACGCACCTGTCTAATGACCGTCGCCAGTAATCTTTCATTCCTACCCGTCAAAAAAGGCGTTAATTATTATAATGAGAAATAGCGGAATATGATTTTGATTTATGGCTGATATCGTAGAAACGTCAAATCATTTATCTTGAGACCGTATTTCGAGAAGGCTCATGCTCGGTGCTGAATCCTTTGTAGAAAACTGGTCCAGATTACCATCTATTTACGCCCTATATCAAACTGTTTCAAAACTTCTCCTTTCTGACTTTGACTAAGACATATCATTGAATCGCACTGTTCAAGTTCAAACTTCAAAATGAGCATTTTCAATGCTCAGAAGAAAGAACTGTTTAATGAAAGTGTTCTGTGTTATTGTTCAATTTTTTTTCAGACAGAAAAAAGTAAAAAAATAAGTAAAATTTGTATAAATCTAGTGATATGAAGAACATTGTATTTCTTCACAATTGTATAAAAAATGTATCAAACATGTTATATTCATTTCACAGTCAAACTATTATTGCAATAAGTTGGTAATTTCACCAGATAAAGATGTTTTTATCTGTCATAAATTGAATCAATGTTGCTAGTTACTGGGCTGGACAATGGATGTATTATTGAACTTCACCAACCTAAGTATAAGTGATTCTGAACATACCTCTTATGAACCTCACATAAAAAGATTGGAGTTTAAACGGTGATCGTTGTAAAAGCAAGCTTCAACACCGATCTCTGAAAGGAAAATCACTTTTCGTCTGCCTCTGCAGCTTCCACCGTACGCTGGCAACTAGATGACCCCAGAGACCGATTCTCATTCAACGGCCTATGTGGCTTTGGGACAGACCACTATTCATCTTGAATATGCAATGTTTAAGTTTTTTGTCTATTCCATAAATGATGTCTTCGTACGAGAAATGGTGCGAAAAGCCAGCATGCTTTGGGAAAGACATGCTGGCTCATATTAATATCAAATAACAAAATAATTAATTATAGCATACTGATTCTAAATTTGAAATCGATTGATTCGTCCAAGTTGTATATTATAAGAGTAATATTTTTCTTTTTTCAGATTGGATTATTGAAAGAATACATTTTTTCTCGTAACCTACGCCCCCTGCCAGTTAACACCATATGCCTAGGTTGGCCTCATGTTAAATCCGGACCTGGTGGGAAACCTGCTCCGCAGAGCGGAATATTCGTCTCAAAGCCGGGAAGGCACTACGAACTTTTCATTTGACTTTTTGTTTTATTGGGCTGTTTTCATTTCCTATTTTATCGCATTCGATCCGAAATCGTTACAGACATTTCGAACGTTTATTTTTATCTAAGTCGACTTCAATCGACACTGGAAATTAATCGAGAAATTGAATCGTCCCGTTCCGAGAAATAAAATGGGAAGAAAAACTAGTTATTTGAAATGGGACGAATACATTACGAGAAGATTTTAAAATCAGTGGCGGCTTCGAGGGGTGGCGAGCATGGTCAACAATCGGGACCAAACCCTAAATAACAATCAACCACGAACCCAACGGTTGAAGTAGAATGGACTTTCAATTCTATTCCGAAGATAATGTCAAGGTTAACTTTGTTTTTCTCATATAAACCCCTATATGGTACAGAAATCGAAAAAAGTAGATAGTGACATCTCTCCTCACAGAGACGTCATCCATGGGATTGACAGAGAACTCAGTTTTCGAATATCAAAAATAAATCAAGCCTCGACTTCGACCCCCGACGAGATTCATCGTCTGCTTTTCACTGCAAGGCAAACTAGTCGTAAACTAGAGCCTGAAGAGTACAAGCACATCGTTTTATTGATTTAACACCAGGCAGCGCTGTTTCAGCTCATCTCATAAGTGGTGCTAAGCTGAACCACAAATGCATTGCTGGGCTCGACTATCCTTGAAGTACAAACCTAAGTGAGGGCGATGTGATCTCCCCTTACGTGCTTGTAAAGGTACTTCAAACATATATTTCAAAATAAAATAATGTAAAATTTTCAATATAAATATACTTTTTATGGAAAAATTCATATTTCAAAAATTCATGTTCCCTTTTTGAAATCATATTTTTTCGATTAATTGTGCTTTGAAATCTCTTTACTAATACCTTTTGAATTATGAATACACTGATTCTTTACTTGATGAAAATTATTAACACTATCCAAGCTAAGCGAATTGGCAGGGAAAATGAGGAGGTGGACCGAGAGAAACATTGGACTGAAGAGAGAATGCGTAAGGGTGATAAATGAAAGGGTAGCCAAACCTTTGGCTTTATTTGGAGTGCAAGTGTGTGGGAATTGAGTGCACGATAGTAGGGTGAAGAGACAGTTGAGCGCGACACAGAGGCCCTTTTTGTTAGCCTCGTGTGGGGCTTACAGGACGACACCGACGTCTGCGCTCAGTGTAATCACTGGAATGACGCCATTTTGAGTAGAAGGATGGACCAGATATCAAGAATGTAGAGTGAATGGGACAAGGAAGATAGAGGACAGAGTGAATGAAGAAGATAGGATATTCCCTTGGTTGCAAGGGGAGCTGCTGGATGAGGTGGAGGACGAAAGAATGATTGAAGTGTACGCAGATGCCGGAGCGAGGTTGAACTAGAGAGGATGAATGGACTACAGGGAATGAAGTGATCACCAGCGCAGCGTGAACGAAGCGACGAGAGCCTAAAGTGGTCAGTGACTTTGCTGTGGCTGTAGAACGAGTGAAAGCAGTAAGAGTGAAGAATGAAATAGTAGCAATGACTCATCGGATGATTAAGGAGAGTAGTATAACGGGAGTACGTACCCAGATCACATGGAGGAGAGGACATGATGGCAGAAATTTAGGAAACAGGAAGGATAGGATGGGATAGAGAACAGGTCACATAGAATGTGAGAAAGCTGCAGAGCAAAATTCAAGGGAGAAAAGGAATAAAAGAGAGTATCAGGAGAGAATGGCAAAGGGAATGGGATAGAGGCACGATTGGGCGACTGTTCTACAGATTGTGTACTACAGTCGGATATGAATCATCGAATATGTCGCGGAAGGCTGTCCAGCTGCTTAAGGGGCATAGGAACTTTCTGGGATACCTGTCATGATTTAAACCTGGGTCCGGAAGTTTCCTGCCCTTGTGACTATGGCTAGCCTGAAACGGCAGAATACGTGATCGATAGATGCATGTAAGGAGATAGGATAGAGTGAAAAGAAAGAACGGAAAGGGCGAATGTTGGAATGGTGCTGAGGCACATAAAGGAAAAAGGAATGAATGGACACGATTCATGAATGAATGGGCGGACAGTGTGGTGACAGAAGAAAGGGAAGAATAGATTGTGAGCTCCTAGCTTACTATGGGTTGGAAAAAAAATTGTTATTTCAATTTTACTGGCCATGATGTTATGAAGGATTGTATGTATACATATATTGTATTGTATTGTATGGGAAATGAAGAAAATGGGTCTTCCACCCCGCTGATTCGTCCCTCCGTCTGGCCGACATTATGAGTGGGTGGTACGGGGTGGGGGGAGAGTTCAGAGGAGTAGGGGTTTCCTTGACAGTGGTGGCGCTAGACAGAGAGACTATGCCAGTTGTAAAGTCTTTGAGCTAGGACAACGAAGGCAAATGCATTATTCATGTCACAAACCTAAGTAAGGGCGATGTGATACCCCCTTACGGAATGATGAAAGTACTTCAAACATATACTTCAAAATAAAAGAATGTGAAAATTTCTATATGAATATACTTTTTATGGAGAAATTCATGTTTCAAAATTTCAAGTTCCCTTTTTAAAACTATATATTTGTCGATGAATAGTTTTCTGAAATTGAAATCTCTTTACTAATACCTTTTGAATTATAAATACACTGACCCGTTACTTGATGAGAATCAATTACACTATCCATGATAATAATTATACAATTTCCACAATATATTTTATTTAAAACGCAGGTCACTATACGGTAGCTTTATCAGTTGGACAATGAGTTTCCGTGAGCGATACGCGTCTCAAATAAAATTCATTGTGGATTTTTTCATAACTTTTGTCATGGAATATTGATCATTATTTCGACTCCCACCTCGTAGTATGCTTGTGGAATTGTTTCCTGGCTCTATCTGCAGGTGTCGCAGTGGTCATCCCAAAATCAACTGTAGAGAGATTCTATGACTAGCTGAAATTATTTTCATTTGGTCGTTTAGTTAGGGAAGCCACAGATTATGCTGTAGACGACCCCTCCCGATATAGAAGGCCCCGACACTCTGTCGAATGAGGCCCTCATGTCCCCCGTTAACGGATGAATAACTTTTTCATCCATCCCACCCCAGCCAGGTAGGGGTATCCCGTGAAGGGCGGCACTGATGTCTAAGGACTTCATGCCGTCATCAATCAGTCATGAACCCATTGGTCCCTCTCAAGACCAACAATCAGTCAAAAGGGTAGGGGAGCTGGTCTCCAAACCTGGATAAAATCAAGATGGATCTCGTCATTTGGTCGTGATTACCCAGACAATCACCTCGAAACCGGTCTATAGGTTGGTCTATATATATGATACGTACTGCTTGAAAATATATTACATGAATCAGTTTTGATGAGTACTTATTTGGTGCTCTGTACCACTGTAAAATTGTTACTGTGTGAGTAAACAAACTTATGTGAATAGTGGGGTTGAAACTCTATGAGTGTTGAAGTGATACCTTAGAAGATGCTTTATTAGAAATGTCTACGAGAGATCGTATGAAGAGTTTTACTGTTGTGAATATATCAACTGATGACCTGATAATGACCAAAAACCATACACCGTATATCCAGATATCTTGGACCGCTCTGACCGATTGACTGAAGTGAATAATTTGTTAACTCCACCAAAAGGTACATATAGGTCCCTATCTGGAAGGAAAATAATGACACTCGTACTGCACAACTCAACTTTACCCAACTTAACCAATATTTGGACAAGATGAAAGAAATGTAGAGGTAGCACTTTTCCTGGCCACATGGAAAACTAGGTATGATGTATTGACGGTACTCAATAGTGGTTGAACCATGAACCATGGTTTAGTGGCTGGATATGAAAAACAAGCTACTTACACTGATGAATTGAGCAATATGCAAGGAAATAATGGAATCTGTAATATACTGTGCGTTGAGAAAGTACTCGCAAGCGGAAATGTATACAATTCCGCATCGAACAAAAAATATCAAATTGGGACCTCAACCAACAACAGTCCTACAGACAGCCAAACTGCACTCGGGGTATTCATGATTCCAAAAGTAACATCGAAACTGGTATGAGAACACAATTAAGAATCGAATAATGTTCCAACACTGGACAGTTCATTTGAAGGACACAAAGAGACAGATACAGACTGTCTTGTTTTTTGCGAATGTGGAGCATTGGATCATGGAAATCATAGTTAATCCAAATTTAGTTTGAAAAAATATGACAGACATCCAACAAAGTACCTATACAAACTAGTATAGAAAACAAAATTATGGGACGTTGGATGTCTGATATATATTGCATCCCCCGGATGTTCCAGGAATCATTGGAACGAATTCTAATCCCTTGTGGAGAACCTGTTGATTTCATAATGGATATTATCCTTTTCAATTATAACGAATCAGAACATATTGAAAGTTTGCAAGTAGCTAGCAAATATCGCCGGATAGAAAAAGAGGCTTGCTCCTGTTTGGGCTATCAAACGTTTCAATACATATCCCAATTGAAATATTTGTTTCAAACGGGTCACTGATCACAAACCTCAGAAGAAATTTTTGCACCACTATCGAAGCCATGTGCAAGAATTGAATAATGCATTGTGAACTGAAGTTGCAAACTTTCAATTTCGACGATCACTTCAATAATGATGAATGTTTTCACAAAGTAATGGCGTACTCTCGACCCGTTACTGCATGAGGAAGGTAAGGATATTTTGGAAGTGAAAATAGGATATTGCCGAAATGCATGAAATAACTCAGTCAATAGTTACAGACCTTAGAGTGGAAAAAATACAAATTTATACCTAGAGAAGTCAAGCAATTTTGAAAGCGGCTCATCAAGTAAACAGAGCATTGTAGTCATGAGGAATCAGTTACATGCTGAAGTGTGATAGCTATGATTAGATAAGGATGCACAAAATAGGATGTTAATAGGATGCACACTAGCTTCAAATTCCAAGAATTTCTGGTAGTGTTGTGGTTTACACTAATTTCGACTTCTTCAATCACTACGAAGGAATGAAAATTCTCTATAAAAAAACGGAGATGATTCTTCACCACATCATACCATATGACTTCCATTATCTGATATGATATAAAATCCCAGAAAGAATCAATACAATTCAACAGGTTAGCCATTCTGATAGCACACTTGTATCGTCATTCCATTTGGATTCCAGGACATTGGCTGCGGATGCACATTTCCACCGGTAGCAGAAGGCATATCTCAAAGAGGATCTAGAAGTGATTTCGAATTGTGGTAAAAGTAACCAGGTTCAATTCAGTGTCAATTCAAGGCAATGAGGCTGCTGACTCCCTTGCAAAGGAGGGTGCTGTAAGCAGCTCTATCGGATCAGAACCCGTCATTGGCATCGCTTTAGGCTTTGCCGAACAAACATTGAACACCTGGATGGCAGGAAGATATATGGACTTTTGGCAGAATCTTTCAGGATTGGCTTACTTCAAGGCGTTTATTCTCCCTTCGAAGCTTGATTCCAAACAGTTGTTGGACTACAGGCCTTCTTACAGGACACTGTCATTTGAATCATCATATGCAGAGACTCGGACTGTCGGAAGACAGTGTGTGTCGCCTCTGTTTGGAAAATGATGAAACAGTACAGCACATACTTTGTGCGGGTTGCGGTGGAGGGTGGAATAAACCCACTCACTTTGGACCTAACCTAACCAGGTTCAATTCAATGCCACAAA